CTGTAAATGAGTGAAAACAAAATGGCGTTTGTGCAATATTAGAAAATGGTAATGTGGTACATTACAAAATCCAAGGGGGTTACAAAAATCATTCAAGCGTGAAAGTCTGTATTAGCGAAAGAGCTGCACGAGGTTTTCTGCGACTAACTTGTATCGTCGCTTGAATTTCATAAACATTCAAACTGACAACTGTTACTTAGATCCTAAGGACTTAGAAATCACCGAATCTTGCTATCTATCAACTTTATCATTATGCCCCGGCTGTCACAAGTACAGAGAGAAAGGGCTGTAGGCATGATCCAGGCTGGGGAGTCTCGCCGTCGATTTGCACGGCATTTTGGTTGCAGTGTTAAGACAATTTGCCAGTTGGTAAGTCGTTTTAACCAAACTGGGTCAACATCCGATCGTCCCCGTAAAACGACCGCCATGGATGACCGTCGTATACGAATGATACACATACGCAATCGATTCGTAACCGCAGTAGAGACTACAAGGACATTGTTCGGGCGTCGTGTGTCTCCCCAAACAGTCCGCAACAGGTTGAGGGCCTACCAATTGAAAGCGCGGCGTCCCTACACTGGCGGCGGAAGTGTAATGGTTTGGGGTGGTATTTGTGGGGGGACTCGTACCAGGCTTGTTGTGTTAAATGGCAATTTAACCGGCATTCGATATCGGGACGAAATTTTAAGACAGTGGTTCTGCCATTCTTAAGGCGCCATGGCGTTGGCGCCATTTTTCAACAGGATAACGCACCAGCGCACACCAGTCGCGTCAGCAGAACTTTCTTGCAGCAGAATAACGTACAGGTGTTAGATTGGCCATCTAAATCACCTGATTTGTCACCGATCGAGCATGTCTGGGACGTTCTTGGGCGACGCTTGAGAAAACGTCAAAATCAGTCGTCAAACTTGCCGGAGCTGGCCAAAGCCTTGATCGCTGAATGGAACAACATCTCTCCTCGAATTATCCGCCGGTTTACGAGTTCCATGTGACGACGCTGCAATGCTGTTTACTTCGCAAACGGTGGCCATACCCGTTACTAATGGTGTTACCTTTGAAATTGACCCCAACGTCCTTTACAGTCGAATAAAATCTACTGAACGCAAAGCTTTATAATGAACCATGACTGCAGTTTTATCAGAATTGATCAATTACTTTATTCGTACATGATTGGTAAGGATTTATGAAGGGGTTAATTAATTAATCACAGAATAAAGTAGTGTTAATTTTCTTTTTTTGTTTAATATATATATGCGAATTGCATGCTGGAACGTCTTGGCACAAAACACAACAAGCATAATATCGATGATATTGTCGGTTTCTTCTCAGCATAGTTCAATTTAACCATAATGTCAAAACTTCATATCTGAAAAGAAGATTATAATCGACTTTGCTCTCTTCGTAAGTTTTAAGTTGGCACGTGACGTAATTTGCCATTAAAGTGTAAATTGTAGAAACTGTGTTTTATGTTCTAATATATATTCATTCTTAATCTCATCAGGTTTTCTTTCTGAAGCTACACTTGAACCTTGATTGCAGCGATATTAGTATTTGTTTAGCAGTGATAAATAATATATGTTTAGCAGTGATAAATAATATGTTTACCAGTGATAAATAATATGTTTACCAGTGATAAATAATGTTTACCAGTGATAAATATGTTTACCAGTGATAAATAATGTTTACCAGTGATAACTAATATGTTTACCAGTGATAAATAATATATGTTTACCAGTGATAAATAATATGTTTACCAGTGATAAATAATACATGAGTGATAGTGTAACTCCATGTGGAAACAACTATTGCTAAAACGTAACCAACTTTGTGGATTATGTGTCTTCTTTAACAACTGTGTACATGGACCAGACAAGTCTTTTAATCTTCTCCTACCCTGTCGAATGACAGGGAAACGCAGACGTACAGTCTAGAGACAGAAAGGTAGGAGGTGCAAAGGTAGACCTTGATCTGATAGAAAACAGTGGCAGAAAGGCAAAAGGCACAACCTTTAAATTGACAGACCTTGTTTTGATGGAAAACACTGACAAGAAGGTAGAAGGTGCAGCCATTAGATTGACAGACCTTGTTGTGATAAAAACACTGAAAAAGGTAAAAGATGCAGCTTTTCGATTGACAGACCATTCTTAGATTGATGAGAGAAATGTAGATAGTGCAGATTTGCGGTGGACAGATAGAAAACACAAAGATCAGTTCACAAGGCCTTAGCATATATTTCTAAATCCATATTATTGTTTTCATTTAATCCCAATATCCCGGTGTTTATGTAAGATGCCATTAATTGACATATAAACTCACAGCAGTTTCGGAATATTTAAGTTGAAAAAAAACTACGGAGAAGTTTTACGGTCGTCATAGCAATGGGGACTATTTGATTTCCTCGTGCGATATGAATTATGACGTGTTTGATCCTTATTAGCACGCCTGTAGTTTCACTGTTCTTTTTTGATTGACCTCATATTGGTACAACACTCCTTAATTGGGAACTGGCCGTCGATGAAGCAGCACAAGCTTTCCTTTCCGGAACTTTTCAGAGGCCTCCATGTAGATCTTCCTTTTGTTCATTTCTTGTCTTATTTTCGTTTTGTTAACAAGTTTGTATTTCTTCGTTGTTTTTTATTGTCAGCATATTAGTTTTGAAATAATAATGAAAAACGGTTAGGTCTTATAAATGGTCTTTATTGGACCTGACCGTCCATCACAATATTGCGTCCCTTAGCAGCACCAGGCAATTCGACTGTGCCTAATGACAATACAGACGTTAAGAGAAGCATATGTCTTTCTCATATTTTTAAACTAAGACAAACGCTAAAACCACAAATAATACTACGAAATGTTAATCGTATATCACAAGGGGTATACACATAGCCTGGTGTTTTTCTCCTTTAATATAATGTTAAAATCATTCTTTTACCAACAATGCAAATTAATAAATTATGATACTATTTGCATAGTTAACAAATCAAAGGACGAATAATCATGCAAAGTGTCATCAAATGACATGAAAGGCGGACTGATAGGGAGGAAAAGAACATGAAGAACCAGACGACACGCGTTTTGGTGATTGTGTATTTGTGGAATGCTGTACTCTAAACTGAAGCGCAGAAATAAAATCGTTTTCGTCATTTCACCCCATGCCGCTCTGATCTTAACTGAGATTTACCGAGCAACATTTGAGTGCAAAAGACATGCAAGTGAACATTTACATACAACATATGGCGAACCTCAGGGACTAAACGACAACCAGCAGTGTCTACCAGCTTCTGTCTTAAAGATTGTACAGTACAAAAGACACACAAGTGAATGACACCCATAAATAATATAGAGTTGGATACAGTAGAGCCATGTGATGAAATATACATCATACAGCTGTTTCGTCATTCTAGGACTCGTTAGTGATGCTAAATCATACAGCTGTTTCGTCATTCTAGGACTCGTTAGTGATGCTAAATCATACAGCTGTTTCGTCATTCTAGGACTCGTTAGTGATGCTAAATCATACAGCTGTTTCGTCCTTCTAGGACTAGTTAGTAATGCTACATCATACAGTTGTTTTGTCCTTCTAGGACTCGTTAGTGATGCTAAATCATACAGCTGTTTCGTCATTCTAGGACTCGTTAGTGATGCTAAATCATACAGCTGTTTGTCATTCTAGGTCTCGTGATACTACATCATACAGCTGTTTCGTCATCTGTCTCGTGATGCTAAGGGCCTTAATTTTGAAATCTAAGAGGCGACTGAGGAAAATGAATATTTCATCGACAAAATATCAACTTTTAGATGAGGAGGCACACTAGCCCCATAATTTCATAAATTTCGAACTTATGGCTATTTCAGAAGTGTATGGTGACATGTTTCTATATAATTCAGGGACTTTAAATCTTTCTACCGCCTACATTCTCAAAGATTGTCCAAAAAGACCCACAAGTAAATAACGCCATTGAATACAAATTAGAGTTAGTTCCAGTAAATCATCAATGCATCTAACTCTAAATCTTCAATGAAAGACTTTTATACAATTATTCCAATCCAATATTTTTCAATAAACGACAAAAGTAAGGATGGGATGTGAAATCACGGTTAGCGTTTCTTTATCTAAATATTCGAAAACGTCACATGACAATATGACAACAATATAACAGATTCAACGCAGGCATGTAAATATCAATGGCTGATTTGAATAAAGATGCACATGGTGTAATAGATATGATTAGAGTAAAACCATTTAGCAGTCGCCGCATTTAACATCTTCTTTTAAAACACGCTTTTACGTTCAACAAGAAAGTCAAATTGAATAAACACATTCATTATAAACTCAATTTAACAGTGATAATTGTACAGCAGTACTGACCAAATGATATTCTTTACTGTGTGATTACAGAATAAGTAATATCTGATGTCATCAGATGTCTACTTGGACAATTTCTAACTATACTATTTATGAAGAATATGTTTGTTGGTAGGCATTTGGCAGTTCATGAGCAGGTTATACACAATAACAATGCCATTAAAATGCTAATATTTTAAGAAAGGCTTTTATGACGTATATAGTTAACAATGTGCAGTCACACAGTTATGCGGAAATTGTCAAAAATATCGTAAAATGTGGAAATCTACTTAAAAGTGCAATAACGCATATAACATATATATGCGTCATCCAAATACGATAATATGTTGTTTCCACACAGGAATGTTCTCAGTTTGGGTACTTCATGCAGAATATTTTTCAGGGGGTTTCAATCTCCAGATTCCGTTTTCGTACATTTGTTATGACGATAACTGTGGCATATACAGTTCATTTATAAATCCGTCTGTGTTAAAACATTATCAAGCAAACTGTAGTTCGTTAAATATTGGCTATATATATCAAATATGTTGAGGACAATAATTTCAATACGTTGTGCTTCAGTAAAACAGGATAAAGGTCTCTGAGAAAGAAACAAATGAATTTGAGAATATCGTCCTTCCAGAGATTCCGGGAAAGAGACTACACGGTCTAGCTAGCCCTTGTTGACATGTATATAATTCCCAGCAAGCCACCGAACCATAACAATCCTCCAACTATCACAGTGATTTGTATGAGAAGGCGTGTCCTATCAGACGCAGCTAAAGCACCGCCATGGTCGCCTATGGCCATTGATTTCGTCACCTAGGGACACAAAATTAAATACCGGTTAACAAATGGAAAGTTACAATCAAATTTCCAGTTGTAGTAGTCGGTTTGCTTGAGGCTCTATGCGACTTTTAACTATGTCACCAAATATTAGCTTTTTGTAGTTGAAAGTAGAATTTTAATTTTGCAGTTACGTTACTGGGTGTTAATTGATAACTTTTCTGTTCAAATGTGTAAAAATTCTGAAAATATCGTGCATTTAGAACATTTTCTTCGCTAATTTCATTACCTCTTGTATATCAATGAGTTATTTACGTACAGCAAATGTTCAGGAGAAGTAGAAACTCTTACAACACCATTGAGATACGTTCACTTTGCATAAATGGTATCTAATATAACTTATAAGATAAATTTGAAGTCATGGAAAAAATGGAGTGTAATTTCAAACGGATTATGAACTTATCTTAATCGCCATATTTATTTGTATTATTGGCAATAATCAGAAAACTATTTAGGTAAATAGTAAAATCTTTACTGTTATATAGATAAACTAAGATTGAATCAATATTATACTAAATAAATAAAACAAACGAATCAAAAATAATTTCATATACTCAAACGATGACAACATGAACGTACCTTTCGGGAAGAAATTATGCTCAATATACCAATGGGAAAGAAACATAAAACGGTGGAGAGTATTGCTCCGATACGATAGTGTCTAGGTGGTTGTCGGAGGTAGGCCACATTGGGTGCCAAGGCTGGGGTCTGTCAATAGATCATAATGTGTATGTCACAAAATACCTCGAGTAAACTTACAAAGAAAATCTCTAAACAATCCACTTTGTTTTCATGCGTGACGTCTCCTGCGATTTCAACGTTGTAATTTATCGATAATCTTGATTTTACGGGAACATGTAAAAATGATTCGATCCAGAATAAGAGAGAATCATCTGTTTGTCTTTTTCACGACATTGCAAATTATATTTTCTTCTTCTGGCGATGGCAAAACTACAGGGGAAACTTATAAATAGGCGCCACAAACGTCTGGATTAACTCTGACTTGTTGCGGGATATTGTACCATACGGAACTATGATATTTTGGGAATTCAGTCAAAATGTTTCCTAAAATATATCATTTTGTGAAAATATTTTTCACTGAACTGCTGCATATTCGGCTATTTGATGATAAAATGTTAATCTGTGGGTTTATTTGATTAAATCTGACATTGTAAAGAATTAACAAAAAAAACAAATAATCCCGACATGTATAGAAAGCAAACGTGTATGTTTCGGCATCGATTTACAATTATTTCATAAAACGACAGAACGAAAAAAATACTACCAGGAGTAACTCAGAAATTATTTGAAATCTATATCTTGTCTAAATGTAGGATGTTTAGATATTATAATACTGGTTAGTTCTTTCAAAGCCATCCTTATGTTGAATTATAGATGACATATGTGTCAAAATGCGTTCGTCTATAATAACTTAAGAAACACATTGACGCTGCTGTTGGACTATTAGTACCTAGGCTTTGTTGTAACCTGCCAGCGCCGTTTTAATTTATTCACGGTTCACAATATACACGTGTACCTGATGTTCTCGGATATTCGAAAAATATTAAATTTATTTTGTTATGGGTCTAGTGCACCTCTTCATCTAGATTTTGACATTACTTTAATTCACTTTGAACACTTCTCAGTCGTCTCGTAGACTTAAAACGTTAGGCCCTTCGCATCACTGACGAGTCCTAGAAGAACGAAGCAGCTGTATGATGCAGTTTAATTCATTGTTTGTCTCTACTGTATCTTATCTAACTTTCTATTTAATGATGTTATACATTTGTGTGTCTTTCGTACAATATGTGCTTATTGTGTACAAGGAAAATAGAAACAATCTGTCTAACATGTTGTGTAAATATCGAGATCCTACCTCACTGTTTATTGCTATATATCTGTCCAGCATGTTGTGTAAATATCGATAACCTACCTCACTGTCTATTGCTATATATCTGTCCAGCATGTTGTGTAAATATCGAGATCCTATCTCACTGTCTATTGCTATATATCTGTCTAACATGTTGTGTAAATATCGAGATCCTACCTCACTGTCTATTGCTATATATCTGTCTAGCATGTTGTCTAAATATCGAGAACCTACCTCACTGTCTATTGATATAAATTCTAGCATGTTGTGTAAATATCGAGATCCTACCTCACTGTCTATTGCTATATATCTGTCTAGCATGTTGTGTAAATATCGAGAACCTACCTCACTGTCTATTGCTATATATCTGTCCAGCATGTTGTGTAAATATCGAGATCCTACCTTACTGTCTATTGCTATATATCTGTCTAGCATGTTGTGTAAATATCGAGATCCTACCTCACTGTCTATTGCTATATATCTGTCCAGCATGTTGTCTAAATATCGAGAACCTACCTCACTGTCTATTGCTATATATCTGTCTAACATGTTGTGTAAATATCGAGATCCTACCTCACTGTCTATTGCTATATATCTGTCTAGCATGTTGTCTAAATATCGAGAACCTACCTCACTGTCTATTGCTATATATCTGTCTAACATGTTGTGTAAATATCGATAACCTACCTCACTGTCTATTGCTATATATCTGTCTAACATGTGTAAATATCGAGATCCTACCTCACTGTCTATTGCTATATATCTGTCTAGCATGTTGTGTAAATATCGAGAACCTACCTCACTGTCTATTGCTATATATCTGTCTAACATGTTGTGTAAATATCGAGAACCTACCTCACTGTCTATTGCTATATATCTGTCCAGCATGTTGTGTAAATATCGAGAACCTACCTCACTGTCTATTGCTATATATCTGTCTAACATGTTGTCTAAATATCGATAACCTACCTCACTGTCTATTGCTATATATCTGTCTAGCATGTTGTGTAAATATCGAGATCCTACCTCACTGTCTATTGCTATATATCTGTCTAGCATGTTGTGTAAATATCGAGAACCTACCTCACTGTCTATTGCTATATATCTGTCTAACATGTGGTGTAAATATCGAGAACCTACCTCACTGTCTATTGCTATATATCTGTCTAACATGTTGTGTAAATATCGAGAACCTACCTCACTGTCTATTGCTATATATCTGTCTAACATGTTGTGTAAATATCGAGATCCTACCTCACTGTCTATTGCTATATATCTGTCTAACATGTTGTGTAAATATCGAGATCCTACCTCACTGTCTATTGCTATATATCTGTCTAGCATGTTGTGTAAATATCGAGAACCTACCTCACTGTCTATTGCTATATATCTGTCTAACATGTTGTGTAAATATCGATAACCTACCTCACTGTCTATTGCTATATATCTGTCTAGCATGTTGTGTAAATATCGAGAACCTACCTCACTGTCTATTGCTATATATCTGTCTAACATGTTGTGTAAATATCGAGATCCTACCTCACTGTCTATTGCTATATATCTGTCTAACATGTTGTGTAAATATCGAGAACCTACCTCACTGTCTATTGCTATATATCTGTCTAACATGTTGTGTAAATATCGATAACCTACCTCACTGTCTATTGCTATATAGCTGTCTAACATGTTGTGTAAATATCGAGAACCTACCTCACTGTCTATTGCTATATATCTGTCTAGCATGTTGTCTAAATATCGAGAACCTACCTCACTGTCTATTGATATATATCTGTCTAACATGTTGTGTAAATATCGAGATCCTACCTCACTGTCTATTGCTATATATCTGTCTAACATGTTGTGTAAATATCGAGATCCTACCTCACTGTCTATTGCTATATATCTGTCTAGCATGTTGTCTAAATATCGAGAACCTACCTCACTGTCTATTGATATATATCTGTCTAACATGTTGTGTAAATATCGAGATCCTACCTCACTGTCTATTGCTATATATCTGTCTAGCATGTTGTCTAAATATCGAGAACCTACCTCACTGTCTATTGCTATATATCTGTCCAGCATGTTGTGAAATCACATCCGTATATGACCAATACTTCCACATATGTTTACCATGAGAAATCGAAAAACTTGCTCAAGAAAACAAATGACTGATAAAATCATTAACAGGTTACATTGAATGAATTTAAACATACCGATATCTATTTCAATGATGTTGAATGTAGTAATAGAACCGAGATATGATCTAGTTTGTAAATGGATGTAATAACAGACTATGATAGAGCAAATGCCGGAAGCTATATCACGAGGTCATTATTCAGGGAGTCATCTTTTGTTCTGAAAATTTTGAAGTATAACGGAGCTATCAACAATTTATATTAAAAGACGTAAAATCATTTGAAAAATGGAAGCATCGTAAGTTTCTGCAAATTTCCTGACGGCGATATTATAAATACATAGATTTGACACTAAAAAGAAGTTTTCATCGTTTTATAAAAAAAAATTCATCAGGTTGGTAATGTCAATAGAATGGAAGTTCTTATAACACAACCAGTAGACGATTAGAGCGTGATGTTTTGATGACTACACGGTCACCTTCATCAGACAAATGACGAGCATAGTGAACGAGATGGCAAGGAATCAACCAACGTTTTCGGCTATATTATAATCCTACGAACACAAAGGTCGATTATAGTGTTACGAGATGGTAAAAAGGTTATAGACCAAAATACACTAGATGGTAACATGTACTGTTGTCGATTCGCCTATGCTTTGTTTAACACTTGGTCATAGATGTATGAGAGTCTGTGGCCCCTTCGTCCCTGTTTATTACTGACCCGCTACGACCTTAGCGTACATAGGATTATAGTACATCCGAAAAAAGTTAGTAGATTCCATACCAACTCGTACACTATGTACACAATGCTAGTACGCTTTACCCTTGTCATGTGTTTGTTGAAAGTGACCGTGTAATCGTCGACATGTCACACTTAGTCTACTGGTTGTGTTATAAGGACTATTCTAGCCACAGATAGAGATGTTATTAATTCATTAATATCATCAATATATAATTGATCTATGTAAATACAACTTGACTAGTGAACTTGAACCCATTACACATCAATTTCACAAATAAAATTAGGATTATATTAAAACTAACGGAGCGTTAGATTTCACAAGGGAGGGAAAGATAAATTGCTATCGTCGGTTACCAAAGATGTCCCCATGACGTCAACCAATGTGTTGATAGCTCAAACTAATTCTCTTGGAAAACTGTCATCAATGCTTGAGGTCTTAGTATATACATATGTTTACTGCTTGAGGTCTAAGTATATACATATGTTTACAATTTATGTTTCGGGATCATTTAATACTTAGTGTGAGCCTGAGCAATTCATACTTGCGCTAATTTAACTTATCGATGTATGACAAGCTCTGTGAATTCATTACAGATCCGTCATTACTTTGTACGTAAATGTCCTATTTATGATGTTTACTTTATATTTCGCAATTAGCATATAGGAATTTTGTTAAAATATCCCAATGTTTATATTTTCATTTTCAACCAAACAATCGCCTTTAGTAAAACACTGTAATTGTTATAATATCTTATAATTTTAGTCCTGATTATCTTCATGAAAACGTAACTTTCGTGTTTTTATGGATTCGTTTTCTTCTGCTTTTTTAAACAAAGTAATTTGTTTAAGCAATGACCTAAAAGTGTCAGCGGAGTTACTCTTCAAACGTTATAGGAGTCCTAGGTTAATTATGCTAAAAGTGTCAGCCGAGGTTACTCTTCAAACGTTAGAGGAGTCCTAGGTTAATTATGCTAAAAGTGTCAGCCGAGGTTACTCTTCAAACGTTAGAGGAGTCCTAGGTTAATTATGCTAAAAGTGTCAGCCGAGGTTACTCTTCAAACGTTAATCCTAGGTTAATTATGCTAAAAGTGTCAGCCGAGGTTACTCTTCAAACGTTAGAGGAGTCCTAGGTTAATTATGCTAAAAGTGTCAGCCGGGGTTACCTCAGGTTAATTATGCTAAAAGCGTCAGCCGAGGTTACTCTTCAAACGTAGAGGTTAATCCTACTTATGCTAAAAGTGTCAGCCGGGGTTACTCTTCAAACGTTATAAGAGTCCTAGGTTAAATATGCTAAAAGTGTCAGCCGAGGTTACTCTTCAAACGTTAGAGGAGTCCTAGGTTAATTATGCTAAAAGTGTCAGCCGGGGTTACTCTTCAAACGTTATAAGAGTCCTAGGTTAAATATGCTAAAAGAAATACTTTCACCTATCATATATGATTGCCTTTATTTCCACATTATTATCTTGACACTATGCTGTAAAGCACTTCATCAAGACCTATACTAAATGCCCTGTAAACAGGACGTTAGATTTCTGTCTGTGGCCTCACTTATAGAATGCAAGAGGCGACGAAATATTATCTTCATAAACAGATGTCCTGTGCAAAATCTGAGGACATCTCGCGTTTGTTCATATGTCAAGTATGCGTCCAGTCGAGAAAGGTAAGTTTATGTCTCCGGACCAAGACAAAAAGTAAGTTTATCATTGGTCAGCTAACGTGCTCGGGTGAGCGCATTGCTATATAGCGTATAAAGGTTATTACATGTCAGTCTGATGATACACGTACTATGAAAGTCTGTGGATGGCCACAACCGTGGATATCAGTCAAAAACAGTATTCAGGTGTTGTTTTGGGTTTATGTCAAAACATATTGAAGAAACATTTTGATCGTCAGTCCCATCGCATTATTTTGTTTGATTACAAAAACGTTTGTCTTTACATTTTACTTAATCTTTGCTCTTCCACTTAGAGAACGACAAGACATTTGGACTAATTGATATGACATAACTGGCTGCGAGGCTGTTAAAGTCAACGTAAAACTGGTGAAAATGTTTGTTTGTTTGTCTGTGACCATGAGTCTTCATGAAATCAAGGTAATGTAATATAAGTGTATATGTTAAAGGTGATATTGAAAGAAACTAGAGAACAAAGTTGCCTACATTCTGTATTTATTCATGATTTCATTAATTTTGTTATGTTACGGTATCGTGATGGAAGAACAAAAAATTGAGACTTGATTAAAACTTTGAAAAAGATGGCACGTGTTGCGGTGCTGATTCCACAACAAAAGCCCAGTCTACACCCCAACACAACAATTTATTAATAAAAATTATCGATACATTTGTTTATGAATCAATGAATTCTACTAATTAATTTTGCGAGTACGCTTAAGCCTTACAACAGGTCGATTTAATTAACTTTTCAAGCTGTTAAGTCACATACCTGTACTACAATCAGTTAAAGATATGTGAATTTTTTTCGAAATGATATTTCATTTTTCAGAAACATTATTTAGATTTTTCGATAAAAGGACAAAAAGAAGAAAAAATCGAAAAAAACGAAATAAGATAAGTCTGGAGAACATTCCTAACACATGACAGGAGTTTGGTTATATAGACCAATATTTGTAATAAGTGGTGAAATTACTTACAGTGTACCTTATGGGCCGCCTTTCATCATCAGAGTCTGAGTCCGCCATTATCAATGTGTCATCTCAGCCGATCATCTAAATAAACAAAAGACCATTGTGACTAGATTTTAATATATAGTAGGACTAACTGATGTAACATGAAGACGTTGACTTCAGATTATATAAGACTGGCCATTTATATATACTTCTGCTGTATATGATATATTTCAGTAGGAAGATATTTTGTCAATCGAAGCTTTATGTTATACGATAAAAAAAAACATAATTAGGATAAAAAAGAAACTGGCACTGTAAAAGGTTACAAGATAGTACGTGGTCAAATTCTTTATCTAACATGGTGTGACAGCTTAGTATAGACATGCATGGGAAAATGGGTCTATCCATTATACTTCATATACTCAAAATTACTGACATATGGTCTTCTGAGAAATCGCATTGTTGAATGTCACTATGGTCTTATGTATACATTTGTAAAGTATATAGCATCATCGATAATCCAGGGATTACGATCACTTTCGTTCTCTGTACCCCTGGAACATGTCATGACAAAATTGAAGGCACAATTTAAGTTATTTGATTGGTTCCAGGAGAAAAAAAACTGACCAATCACAGGCTGATACGATCATTTTGAAAATTACATGGAGCTACTCCGAACTTGAAAGCCATTACAATATGACGTTATACGACCTCTAGATCCGTTTGATATACATCAAAGGATCAAACTAGTCTTTTCATCTTGTCGCACACGAAACCTTCGATTTTGTCATGACATGGTCTAGGTGTGCAGAGAGCGAAAGTGATTGTAATCCCCTGGATTATCAAGCATGAGCATATAATAAAGACATTCCAAATAAATCATTTATCAGCAAATGTTTTTTCAATAATGTCTCTATCACCAAAATGATGAAACTTTTCTCATATTTATACAGTATTATCCTAAACAATTGTTTGAAAAAAAAATTCATGTACGCATAGACAAAGGTGTGGAAATATTTTGTCTGCACATTAAATTACTGAACGATAACGACATAGATGCATACAGAGGTGTAATCCTACCCCCAGAGGTTGGTCCTACCTACAGAGGTGTAATCTTACCAACAGAGGTGTGATCCTACCTACATAGGTGTGATCCTACCTACAGAGGTGTGATCCTACCTACAGAGGTGTGATCCTACCTACAGAGGTGTGATCCTACCTACAGAGGTGTGATCCTACCTACAGAGGTGTAATCCTACCTACAGAGGTGTGATCCTACCTACAGGGGTGTGATCCTACCTACAGAGATGTGATCTTACCTACAGAGGTGTTATCTTACCTACAGAGGTTGGTCCTATCTAGAGGTGTGATCCTACCTACAGAGGTGTGATCCTACCTACAGAGGTGTGATCTAACCTACAGAGGTGTGATCCTACCTGCAGAGGTGATATCCTACCTACAGAGGTGTAATCCTACCTACAGGGTTGTGATCCTACCTACAGAGATGTGATCTTACCTACAGAGGTGTCCTACCTACAGAGGTGTCCTACCTACAGAGGTGTGACCTACAGAGGTGTAATCCTACATACAAAGGTGTGATCCTACCTACAAAGGTGTGATCCTACCTACAGAGGTGTGGTCCTACCTACAGAGGTGTGATCCTACCTACAGATTTGTGATCCTACCTACAGAGTTGTGATCCTACCTACAGAGGTGTTATCCTACCTACAGAGGTGTTATCTTATCTACAGAGGTGCGATCCTACCTACAGAGATGTGCTCATACCTACAGAGTGTGATCCTACCTACAGAAGTGTGATCCTACCTACAGAGGTGTGATCTTATCTACAGAGGTGTGATCTTACCTACAGAGGTGTAATCTTACCTACAGAGGTGTGATCCTACCTACAGAGGTGTGATCCTACCTACAGAGGTCTGATCATACGTACAGAGATTGGTCCTATCTAGAGGTGTTATCCTACCTACAGAGGTGTGATCTTACCTACAGAGGTGCTGTGTTATACTACAGTAACCATCATACTTCTGTACTGTCTGTGTTACAGTAACCATCACACTTCTGTACTGTCTGTGTTACAGTAACCATCACACTTCTGTACTGTCTGTGTTACAGTAACCATCACACTTCTGTACTGTCTGTGTTATACTACAGTAACCATCACACTTCTGTACTGTCTGTGTTATACTACAGTAACCATCACACTTCTGTACTGTCTGTGTTATACTACAGTAACCATCACACTTCTGTACTGTCTGTGTGTAACCATCACACTTCTGTACTGTCTACTACAGTAACCATCACACTTCTGTACTGTCTGTGTACTACAGTGTACTGTCTGTCTGTGTTATACTACAGTAACCATCACACTTCTGTACTGTTTGTTATACTACAGTAACCATCACACTTCTGTACTGTCTGTGTTATACTACAGTAACCATCACACTTCTGTACTGTCTGTGTTACAGTAACCATCACACTTCTGTACTGTCTGTGTTATACTACAGTAACCATCACACTTCTGTACTGTCTGTGTTACTACAGTAACCATCACCATCACACTTCTGTACTGTCTGTGTTACAGTAAACACATCACACTTCTGTAACCATCATACTTCTGTACTGTCTGTGTTACAGTAACCATCACACTTCTGTACTGTCTGTGTTACAGTAACCATCAAACTTCTGTAGTGTCTGTGTTACAGTAACCATCACACTTCTGTACTGTTTGTTATACTACAGTAACCATCACACTTCTGTACTGTCTGTGTTATACTACAGTAACCATCACACTTCTGTACTGTCTGTGTTACAGTAACCATCACACTTCTGTACTGTCTGTGTTACAGTAACCATCACACTTCTGTACTGTCTGTGTTACAGTAACCATCACACCTCTGTACTGTCTGTGTTATACTACAGTAATCATCACAGTTCTGTACTGTCTGTGTTACAGTAACCATCACAGTTCTGTACTATCCATGTTATACTGCAGTAACCATCACACCTCTGCAGTGTCTGTGTTATACTACAGTAACCATCAAACTTCTGTACTGTCTGTGTTATAGTAACCATCACACTTCTGTACTGTCTGTGTTATACTACAGTAACCATCACACTTATGTACTGTCTGTGTTACAGTAACCATCACACTTCTGTACTGTCTGTGTTATAGTAACCATCACACCTCTGCACTGTCTGTGTTACAGTAACCCTACAGTAACCATCACACTTCTGTACTGTCTGTGTTATACTACAGCAAGCATCACACTTCTGTACTGTCTGTGTTATACTACAGTAACCATCACACTTCTGTACTGTCTGTGTTATACTACAGTAACCATCATACTTCTGTACTGTCTGTGTTACAGTAAACATCAAACTTCTGTACTGTCTGTGTTATACTACAGTAATCATCACACTTCTGTACTGTCTGTGTGTTACTGTAACCATCACACTTCTGTACTGTCTGTGTTACAGTAACCATCATACTTCTGTACTGTCTGTGTTATACTACAGTAACCATCACACTTCTGTACTGTCTGTGTTATACTACAGTAACCATCACACTTCTGTACTGTCTGTGTTATACTACAGTAACCATCACACTTCTGTACTGTCTGTGTTACAGTAACCATCACACTTCTGTACTGTCTGTGTTATACTACAGTAACCATCACACTTCTGTACTGTCTGTGTTACAGCAACCATCACACTTCTGTACTGTCTGTGTTATACTACAGTAACCAACACACTTCTGTACTGTCTGTGTTGTGTTACAGTAACCATCACACTTCTGTACTGTCTGTGTTACAGTAACCATCACACTTCTGTACTGTCTGTGTTTACTTCTGTACTGTCTGTGTTATACTACAGTAACCATCACACCTCTGTACTGTCTGTGTTATACTACAGTAATCATCACACTTCTGTACTGTCTGTGTTACAGTAACCATCACACCTCTGTAGTGTCTGTGTGATACTACAGTAACCATCACAGTTCTATACTGTCTGTGTTACAGTAACCATCATACTTCTGTACTGTCCATGTTATACTGCAGTAACCATCACACTGTGTTCTGTACATGTCTGTACTGTCTTACAGTAACCATCACTTCACTGTCTTCAGTAACCATCACATCTCTGTACTGTCTGTGTTATACTACAGTAACCATCACACTTCTGTACTGTCTGTGTTATACTACAGTAATCATCACACTTCTGTACTGTCTGTGTTACAGTAACCATCACACTTCTGTACTGTCTGTGTTACAGTAACCATCATACTTCTGTACTGTCTGTGTTATACTACAGTAACCACCACACTTCTGTACTGTCTGTGTTACAGTAACCATCACACGTCTGTACTGTCTTTGTTACAGTAACCATCACACTTCTGTACTGTCAACCATCACACTTCTGTACTGTCTGTACAGTACCATCACACTTCTGTACTGTCTGTGTGTTATACTGTATCACACTTCTGTCTGTGTTACAGTAACCATCACACTTCTGTACTGTCTACAGTAACCATCACACTTCTGTACTGTCGGTATACTACAGTAACCATCACACTTCTGTACTGTCTGTGTTACAGTAACCATTACACTTCTGTACTGTCTGTGTTACAGTAACCATCACACCTCTGTACTGTCTGTGTTATACTACAGTAATCATCACAGTTCTGTACTGTCTGTGTTACAGTAACCATCACAGTTCTGTACTGTCTGTGTTTATAGTAACCATCACACTTCTGTACTGTCTGTGTTATACTACAGTAACCATCACACTTCTGTACTGTCTGTGTTACAGTAACCATCACACTTCTGTACTGTCTGTGTTATACTACAGTAACCATCACACTTCTGTACTGTCTGTGTTATACTACAGTAACCATCACACTTCTGTACTGTCTGTGTTACAGTAACCATCACACTTCTGTACTGTCTGTGTTACAGTAACCATCACACTTCTGTACTGTCTGTGTTATACTACAGTAACCATCAAACTTCTGTACTGTCTGTGTTATAGTAACCATCACACTTCTGTACTGTCTG